GCTTGGAGATGCAGTGCTGCTTATTTACTGTTTCTTTCTACTTCTAGTTTACACCCCAACTGTTTGATACAATGCCCAAGTGAAAGTCATGTTAATACTTTTCTAATTTTGTTTAAGAAAATTCAACAGACTGCAAATGTGAATTTTTTCATAGTGCACTTTCTGGTGAGTAACTATAAATGAGGAGGTAAAGCTTGCATGTTTAACTGCCTTATCTTCTTGGGTTGCAAGATCTACAGATGCTATTAGGCCACAAGTTGTTTCATTTATTGCATCAGGTCTTAAGGAGAAGTAATCACTAAGAAGTGGTTATCTTCGATGCCTACGGGTCATATGTAAAAATGTTGATGCAATTTTGCCTGTAAGGAAACTAAGTTTACTAAGTAGTGTTGAATGTTGATATCTGAATATTTTTTTCACAAATATTTTCATGTGGCTGATGTTTTTGTGATTCTTGCTACCATATATCTTTTTTACTCGTGCCTCTTATACAGCTGGTAAAAAATGGTTTTACCAAAGCAACACAACGATTGGATGGCATTTATGTGTTACTCATTGTGATGAAAATCATAGCGTCTGATATAAAAGCTCAACAACTGGATGACATTTATGCGTTACTCATTGTGATGAAAATCACAACTTCTGATATAAAAAGCAGGTGTTGATTTCTATTATTAGTTGTACTCTTAACCTATTTTCTATTTTTTTTCTTATATCCACTGATAGCTAAAAGTGGTTGTTCAAAATACTAATTTTGATTTTTTTTTCCTGAAGATGAAATTGTGTCAAAGGAAAAGGTCTTGTCTTTGATTTCACATATTGAACCTTCAGTTTTCCTTGTAGCTATGGTAACTTTTATTTATAATTAATAGATGCCCATTTGTTGTAGTCTTTACTTTTTATCTAATGTGATTGATGTTCACGTTTCGAAACTATCGGTGGAGGACTGTGAAAGATCTATTGAGTTACTTGAGACACACTTTATGGATCATGCTCACAGGTTATTTATTTATTTATTTATTTCTGCAACACTTAGTCATGTTGATTGTTTTTTTATTAATGCTGAGAATCATCATTACCTATTTTACTTATGTTTATGTGTCATTCAAGTTGGGATGTACGAAGAGCAGCTTATGGCCGTACAAAAAAAGATTCTATGTGCAGCTTATGGTTGTGTTTTATTTTCTATTTTTATTTATTTATTTATATTTGTATATCTTAAGGTTGTAATCACATATTAAAATGAATCTTTATGTGGATTTGCTCAAAGGGTTTTAATAACATAATTATTAGAGAACATGGTGAATATCAAAAATCATTGAATTATTGAAACCCCCAACCGTAATTAAAAATTCAAATCCGTTTGAAATCGGCATCTAATATCAATATTTTTGTTAATTTGTCAATTTTCCAACTTACTCTAACACAATTATAGGGATTACACAGATATTTATACCATACAATTAGGAATTTAATTTTTGAATTCCTTAATCATTACCTTTTATATGGATATATCCATAAAAAATATATATCTCTTATAAATTTAAGTTGTCATTTTCTTTGAGTACACAGTTTACGTCTCCAGAAAAATTTGTCTCCGGCCCTTCCCTTCATCGTGAACAACAAATAACATAATATCAAGGTTATTGGAGGTTAGTTTTTATTTACTCTATCATTTTGTATTATGTTCATCTTTTTGCTTCTATCAGTTCATCTACATTATCGGAATCTTTTTCTGCAATTAAATCAACATTTGCTTTTACAGTAGTGTTGACATCTATTTTGTTCAATAAGTCATAAGGTTCTATATAATCATCTTTGTCAGTTTTAAGTTCTCTATCTCTTTGTATACACGGTTTACATCTCTAAAATATTTTTCTAATTCTTATTAAAATAACATCTACTTTTTTCGTATTGTTCTATATAACCAATGTTTTTTGCATGTTTTCAATATTACACCAATGTACTTTCCAACCGTCCTACTTTCTTGTATTATTAATAATTTAGAAGATCCTAATTTACTGTTGTGTTATTTAAGAAAAAAATCATTCACGTGGACCAGTTGTATGTATCTGTTTGTGTGTATATGTATCTGTTTATTGTGCATGAATGAAAGTACACTAGCAACTTGGTAATTGTTGTTTCTATATTACAATAGCGTCTTTCTTTCTTGATTACATTACAAACAATGATCATTGTTTTTTCCTGTTATTACAATAGTACATTGCTATCCATTTCGTTTTTTGGTCTTTTATTTACTGTAAATTATTGAAGAATGTTATAAAACTAATTATGTATTCTTTCAACTACCACATCGTAACTTTTCAGTTAAAAAAAAAAATTCATCCCCCTAACCATGGTTCTACTTTACTTTTCTTAATTTACCACAAGTTATAATGATTAACAACATACTTATGTTTCCAGGGGTATAATGGTCACTTATTAAAAAAAAATTATCCATTCCATTTTTAGTCTTCTATTGGCTGCACAACTTATAATCATTAACAATATACTTTTCTTATTCTATTTTTATATTTCTTTCTCTATTTTCTCTAATTTCTTTTTTGTTATTTTGTCTTTTATTCACAAACTTACAAAAAAAAAAGCAAGGCAAAAGTATTTGTTGAGTAAGGCTCATATTGACCATTTACTGTTATTAGGTAAAAAAGACAAACCAAAAATTGTAAAATGGTCTTTTTTTTGTTAATCAAAACGGGACAAAGTACAATGGAATATATACTTAACTTTCAATTTCAATATGTTTTCAATTGTTTGCAGAAAATGAATATAGGTAATAAAGTATACCTCAAAAACATTGAACATATTGATGATGATTCACATATCAAAGTGCGGGTGGTAAAGATGTGGAACTTTATAAAGAATAATATGGTTTTATCAATTGAAATGATCGTAATGGACGAGGAGGTTGGTTATATTGTTTTTTTAATATTCCACTAAATATTACATATGTTTCAAGCAATAAAATATTTTTTTTGATTTAACAGGGTACAGAATACCATTATCGTGTTTTCAATCAAAATTTTTCCAGATTTGGTGATCTTTTAAAGGAAGGTCAAACATATATCATTATAAAACCCAACATGGCGTCTGTGAATAACGGTTTTAGTGCTACGGGTCAGAAACAAACCATAACTTTGAATTGGAAAACTATTGTAAAAAAATATGAGGATTTTTCAGGTCCGGTGAATGGTTTTGTATTTGTTTATTTTAATTCTATTATCAAATAAAAATGCATAAGAGACTCATTCTTTGGTTAGTTATTTAATTTTATTCCAATAACTTTTATAACTTATGTAATTTATTATACATGTTAGTATTTAACCTAATCTTACTTTTTATATATTATTAAACTTGTGTAGATGTTATTTGACAAATTGTCTCATTTCGGGTACTTGAAACATCAAATCCTAACCCATCCAAGCATTAGATAAAGATGACTATTAAGAACTTAAAGTGAGATTATATATCTTTTATTTCTTTATTATTTTTAGCAAATCACACTTCATCCATCATATTAATTTATTTATTTATAATTACGTATTGTATTTTTTTATGTTAATTTCATTACAGACATGTTTTGTTTGTTTTGTATCAAATCAATTTTGATGTTTTTTTGGGTTTTTTTTGTAATTACTCAAACGTATGTTGCATTATATAAAGTCATGACTTTTATAAAATAGATGTATTTACATTTGTAATTAAATACTTAAAATTTACAAAGTTACTAAAAATAGAGAACATATCCTAAGAAAAACACCACCATTGTACGAAATTCAAGGTTATGGACAGTAAACCTAAAAAAGAAACACATGACGCAGTAAATCAAGGTAAAGTTTTGAAAAAAACTGACGAAGACAGCAACAATTTCTATTAATCTCACGAAATTAACACCATGAACGATGAAGAATGAGTAAAAATCCTACAATGACAATGACGACTGATCGAGACAATGGACTTGAAGATTTGTTGGGATGGTATATTATAATGGCAAAAGTGGCGTTTTAGCCAACAAACGTTTTTTTTCCCACTCGCTCCTTTGTGGTTGTGTCATCATCTCCGTATGTTCAACGAGAATAATGCACCAAAAGTAAGGGTTTTAAAAATCTTCATTTGTAATTAAATACTTATCATTTACTGTGTAATTAAATACCTACAAATCACAAAGTTATTAAAAAATACAATATTACACTTCATAAGGTTTCTAAATTAATGAAATATTATTTTATTACGTAATTAAATTTTAAATTCTATTTAAAATTAACACCGTGGTTTCCAAAGGTTTTAACCTAGTTGTAGCTTGTCAAAAGGTCAAGGTGTGTCTGTTTCCATCAACCAAACTTCCTCCGAATCAGTGAATTTGGAGCCCCTTATAGAATCGTCCACAACCGTTACCCTCCATGAGTGCCCCGTTATTACCGATCCTGAATTAAAGCATGCCGAAGAAAAGTTGGCATCTTCCGATATTGAAACTTTAGATCCTAGGGCTGATCCCTCTTCAAATCCAGGGGAAACTCCCGTTGTTGAATCTTTCAATCTTCTACCTAAAAGTCAAACTTTGACCACTTTGTCTGCAACTATGTGTTTCAACAGAAACTCTTTGGAAGTGGATTTGGGTTTTTTCAGGCGTCAAAGACGAAGTCTACGGTTATGACGACCAGGCCCCTTCTTTTGGAATCAAAGTCTCCATCTGATTCGACTGCCCCTTCTGTGGAAATTCTTGATTCCGACACCTTGTTTGGAGATGATTCTTAGGTTGAATTATCTTCTGATGTCGCGTTGAAGAATCCACAACAAAATCATATGTTTTTCGTTTTTCATTTTACTCTATTTTGTTTTTCCTTTTAGTTGTATAATCTTCTTGACGTGTCATTCCTTCTTCTATTTTTCTTGCAGTTATTCCTTCTTCTGGGAAAGAGGCTCCATTACCTACGCTTGTCACTTTTGCTACTTCATTGCCTGAATTCCAACGTCCCTATGTTATGAATTCTATTCCTAAGAGTCCCGAGCCTGCAAATGATTCCAACGAAGAGAGTCTCAACAGATCTTGTTCTTATTTGATGGAAGCGATTCATCTACCGAGCGAAGTCTCTTGTCACACTCGCAAGCGGGCTAGCATTCTTTCCAAAAAGCAACAGAGGTTTGATGAGGCTTTCCCGACGCTGAAAGGGATGTGCAGTCTTCATGACAAATTGGAGGCGGAAGCAAAAAGTCTTCGCGATGAGGTTCATGGCTTATCTGAGAGGAACATGCAATTGGTTGATAACTTAAGTGATAGCCTCCGCGGTTAGGAAGAGCTAAAATATTTAAATCAATATCTTTAACACACAGTTGATGACGCTATTGGTCGTCACCTGGGGTTGATCCGTGAGCTGGAAGAGAGTAATCAATAGTTAGAATCTTTGAAGTTGCACCATACCGAGACGGGTTCTCATTTGGAAATTTCATGTTCAGGCAAGGATGTGAGCATTAAACTGCTCGAGGAAGACTTATCAAAACTCAAGATTATAGTGTCTGAGAGAGACGCCCAAATTGTATCTTTGGGTGAGCTGCAGGTGTCTGCTAAGCAAGATATGCTTCGATATCACACAATGTTGGAGCAAGGAGTTGTAGACTTCTAGAGGGTATTCCCTCCTTTGTGCATGCTTTATTGAATTCAAGTGACTTTGGAAATGTTAATGCCTCTATCCAGACAGCTGCGATCAAAATGGTCCTCCATTAAGCTTGTGTGGAGATGAAGGAAAAATATTCTGATGTCTTGGATGGGAAGAAGGTTGTCTATTCTTATCCTGATGCCCAACACCTTATCATGGACTGTTTTTACGATATGGTTTCTTATAAGTACTCGTTGTTCGAGCTTTTAGAGGGAGGGAGAGTGGATATTGGTGTGTTGAACGAGAAGGTGGCATCTTTGGATCCTCTTCCTAGGTGTGATGGTGCAAGTAGTAGTTATTGATTTGTTTTTAGGGGTTTTTGTCTGTATGGTTGGACAAAAGAGTTTATTGGATAGTATGTTGTTAACTTTTGTTTTTTGATGTACATGTAACCTTTGCGTATGTTTTGAAAGGTTTTTGGTTCTCCAAATGCATTGGATATTGCATTAATTTATCTCATAGTCTATACATGTTGATGAAGGCCTAATTGAGTCGTGATTTAGCAAACTATGGTAAAATTCTTTGAGTTAATTTTCATGAAACTAAGGTCAAACTATAAGTTAGTCTCCGAGCCATAAGTTTTGAAGACCTACGGTTTATAAAAATAAGGTCGAACCATAATTAGGTAGATCATGGTGACCGAACCATAAAGTGCAAAGACTTTATGGTTAATGGTAAATAAAAATAAGGTTGAACCATGATTTGGAGGATCATGGTGACCGAATAATAAAGGGCAAATACTTTATGGTTCATGGTAAATAAAAATAAGGTCGAACCATGATTTGGAGGATCATGGTGACTGAACATAAAATGCAAAGACTTTATGGTTCATGCGAAATAAAAATAAGGCCGAACCATAATTTGGAGGATCATGGTGACCGAACCATAAAGTGCAAAGACTTTATGGTTCATCCTAAATAAAAAATAAAGTGTAGAGACTTTATGGTTCATGGTAAATAAAAATAAGGTCGAACCATGATTTGAAGGATCATGGTGACCGAACCATAATGTGAAAAGACTTTATGGTTCATGGTAAATAAAAATAAGGTCGTACCATGATTTGGAGGATCATGGTGACCGAACCATAAAGTGCAAAGACTTCATGTTTCATACTAAATAAAAATAAGGTCGAACCATAATTTGGGGGATCATGGTGACTGAACCATAAATTTCAAAGACTTTAGGGTTCATACTAAATAAAAAATAAGGCCGAACCATGATTTGTAGGATCATGGTAACCGAACCACAAAGTGAAAATACTTGGTGGTTCATGGTAAATAAAAATATGGCCGAACAATGATTTGGAGGATCATGGTGACCGAACCATAAAATGCAAAGACTTTACGGTTCATGGTAAATAAAAATAATGTCGAACCATGATTTGGAGGATCATGGTGAGAGAACCATAAAGTGCAAAGACTTTATTGTTCATGCTAAGTAACAATAAGGTCGAACCATAAATTGAAGGATCACTGTTCCATAAAGTGCAAAGACTATGGTTCATACTAAATAAAAAATAAGGTCGAAGCATGATTTGGAGGATCATGTTGACCGAACCATAAAGTGCAAAGACTTTATGGTTCATGGTAAATAAAAATAATGTCGAACCGTGATTTGGAGGATCATGGTGCCGAACCTATAAAGTACAAAGACTTTATAGTTCAATGTAAACAAAAAAATAAGGTCGAAATGTTATCGATCAAAAACTAAAAATTGCATTCAAGGTCATAATCATACGTCATACAAAAGGTGATTGCTGTCTAATGGTATTGATACATTTTTTGATCGACTAGAAACTGGTTCACGATTACTGCTACTTCATAAGTGGAATTTGCGAAGATTTTGCATATTCAATGTTCTTGGAAATCGAATTCCTTCCATGTTTTCCAAAACATATGAGCCGTTCCCCACGACTTCTATTACTCGGTATGGTCCTTCCCAGTCTGGACTTAGTTTTCTGATATGCTACTGCTAACTTACTTCGCTCCTCCTAAGGGATAGATTTCCTACCTTGCATGATGTACCTCTGACCTTGGCATTGTAATACCTTTCAGTGATTTCCTTGTAATCTGCTTGTCGTATAGCCGAGTTACTTCATTTTTCTTCTACAAGATTCATGTTTGTTCGTAAATTTGCATTGTTCGTGCTTCCATGGGGAATCCTATTTTGAGTGCTTCACACTGTTACCTCTATGGGGATAACTGCCTTTATCCCATATACTAGTCTGAACGGCGTTTCCTTAGTCGGAGTGTGTGGCGTTGTTCGATAAGCATGTAGCACGCTTTGCATCATCGACCCAATTTCCTTTAGCATGCCCCAACCTTTTATTGATCCCCTTCACTAGAGTTCTATATGTAACTTCTACCAGCCCATTTTCCTGAGGATGCTCCACCGAAGTGAAGTTATGTTTAACTCCTTTCTCTTGACACCATTTCTTGAAAAGATTTTCCGCAAACTGCTTTCCGTTATCACTGATGATCGTGTGTGGGAGGCCAAAAAGGAAAATTATTTGTTTCTAGACAAATTTTGCCACATTTCTTCCTGAGATTACTGGCGAAGCTTCTGCCTCGACCTATTTGGTAAAGTAATCGACGACCACTATCAGAAATTTTACCCTTACCGGTGCTTCAGGAAAAGGTCCCACGATGTCGATCCCCATTGAAAGAAAGGTCATGGTCTAGTAATGCTTGTTAACTCTATAGGTGGAAGGGTAGGGATATTTGAGTGTATCTGACAATCGTGACACTTCTGGATGTGACCATTTGTATCGCCAGTCATTGATGGCCAAAAATATCCTGCTCGGAGTATTTTCTAAGTAATTGCCCTTGACCCTATGTGTACACCACATATGCCCGAATGTAGTTCACTGATGACGAGTTCTGATATTCTCTTTGTGATACATTTTAACCAAGGGGTGGAATAACCCATATGATATAACCGATCTTCATATATAGTATAACGTGTTTCATTGATTTGAATTTTCCTGGCTTCATTGTCATCCGCGGGTAATATCCTTTCTTAGGGAAAAGGATGTACAACATCATCCATGATTCTTCTTCCTCGGTTATCTCCAATGCTTCTATGATGGGCTCCTGAATTCTCCTTTTCACTAACTTCTCCACTAACACGTTCTTCGAAAGATGATCAAATACTATTGATGCAAACTTACTTAAAGCATCTGCTTCTTTGTTTTCTGGCGAGGTATCTGAGTGATTTCGAACTTTTGAAACTTTTTTACCCATTCTTTCGCTTGGCTTAAGTATTTCAAGATGTGTGCCTCCTTCACCTCATAATCTCCTTTAATTTGATTAACCACTAACATGGAATCACAAAATACCTTTATCTTTGAGATATTCACGCTTCTTGCTAATCGTAAACCTGCAAGTAAAGCTTCGTACTTAGCCTTATTATTTGAGCATGAGAATTTGAATCTAGACGCATTGGTCAGGTTGACAAGGACAATTCCAGCTCCCAAACCATCTTTAATAGAGGCTTCATCGGTATGTAGTGCCCATTCTTCAACATTAGGGGTTGGTATCAACAACTCAGCAGGGGATTTCTCGATATATACCGCTAGTTGATCATCGGGAATTTATGTCAGGAATCTACCAAGGCTTGGCCTTAATGCTAATCCTCGGTTTGTAATTGATATTGTGCTATCCTAATTTGATTGCCTATTTGGTCATTCACCCAGACCTCTCCGGTTGCATCAGAATTTGCTTGATTGGTTGGTTTGCTAGTAGCAAAATGGGATGAGCCTGGATGTACCAACATAGCCGCCTTGCTGCATATACCAAGGATATAACCAACTTCTCAATGACCAAGTATTTTTGCTTAGCTCCGTGTAACACTCTGCTAGCAAAATAGATGGACATTTATTTCATGCTTCTTTTAGCTACCAATACTACACTAATAACCTCTTGACTTGCTGACTGATACATCGTTAGTGGTTCCCATGTGATCGGACTTGCTAGCATTAGTAGACACCAGAGATGTTGCTTTAGCTTTTGGGAAGCATCTTCAGCTTCGTTCGACCATGTGATATAGCTTTCCCCTGTGTGTGTCTTCAATGCTTGGAAAAAGGGCAGGGTCTGTTCGGCTGACTTTGCTAGGAATCGTCCTAGTGCTGCTAGCTTTCCATTGAATGTCCTTTATCGTCTTGGGTGTCTTTGTTTTTAGCAATGCCTCCACCTTCTCTTGGTTCGCTTCTATTCGCGTCATGGTTATGACATGACCGGTGAATTTTCCTTTTTGTGTTCCAAATATACATTTCTTAAGATTAAGTTTCATGCTAGTTTGCCTAAACTGCCTCCATGTTTCCTCTACGTCTTGTAAGAAAGTGTCGTCTTGTTGGCAGCTTTGACCTCCTATTAGTATTTTCACCAAATCTCATGACTCGTAACTCCAATTGACGAGATTCAAAATGTTACAGAAACTAGACAAAAATTTTAGACAACTTTCGTGTTTGTGAAAAAGTAGAAAAACATATAAATTCGATCGAATTTTCACTTTGCAGTTTTAGAAAGTCCCGAAAAATCAAAAATGCAAAATTCAATCAAAGACTTAAAAATTCGATAGTGTTTCTAAAAAATTCAGTCGGTTTTTTGAGTTTCATGCTCCTGAAGACTCTGTCTTGT